TAATAATAATAATAATAATAATAATAATAATTTGTTTTAAATTGAAAATTAATAAAGTTTAATAATTACATTAAAAAATTTTTATGAAGTTTTTATTTATTTTTATTTTTATTTTTAATATAAATAATTACGGTGAAGTTAAAATAATAATAATAATAATAATTTACACGAAGAGTAAATGTAAAAAAAAAATTTATTAGAGTATAAAATAAAAATAAAAAAATAAATTAAAATTTAATTAAATTAATTTTTTATAAAAAAAAAAATTACAACAAAAGGTTTTTAGGTATTTTACTAAAAAAATATTATTTATTTATTTATGTATGTATATATGTTGTGTATATATATATAAATATCTGGTTTAGCTTTGGTAAAAAACTGTGTTACAGGTTAAAATGTTAATGAGGAAAATCTCCGGGAACTCCAGGACGCCTCCTGGAGAGAAAACAGCATTAAATGACATGCGTCGATTTCAACTGGGAAAATTCAGTTTTTTACGAATATTCGCGTACTGAACATTATTTTTCATTATTTATTTATTTGTCCGTTTTTTGTGTTTTTATTAAAAATAAAAAAATTCAATGCAGTTATTTTTGAGTTTTTATCATAATAATAATAATTATTATTAATAAAAAAATTTGTGATTTATATAAGTAGATAAAAAAAAAAAAGGAAAATTTTATTTAAAATTAAAAACATGTCGATTATTAATAAAAATAAATATTTATTTTTTATTTATTATTAATTAAATGAATTTTATTTTTACATAATTTTGAAATAAATAAATAAATAATAGTGAGAATTTTTAATAATTTTTAATACGTATTAATAAATTTATGGTTTTTTTTTTTTTTAATAAACATTTTTCACGTATGAAAACTCTCACAAATTATTTACAAAACTTTTTTTATTTTTTTTCGACGTAAAAAAAATGCTAAAAAAAAATTAATTTTAATTAATTAATAATAATAAATTATTTATATATATATATATGTACATAAAAGTATTAAAAAAAAATTTTCTTGTAAGGGTGTTTTCAAAAAATACGTTATAAAAAAAAATTTTTTACGACTTTTTTCGATTTTTTTTACGACCGCATCAAAAAAAAAAAATTATTTTTCTTTTTATTATTATTATTATTATTTTGTTTTTACATTTTCTTTATATATATTTAAAAAAAATAGATACATATATATATATTTAAATAAATTTTTTTATTTATTTTTATTTTAAATAATTATTAATTTAATTTTTAATTTTTAATTTTTTTCTACGCAAAAATTTTTTGAAAATTATTTTCTGTGACTTGATATTTTAAATACTCATTACTTATTTTTTAATTTAATGATAATAATAATTTATTAAATATGAAAATTTTAATAATTTTTAATTAAAAAGAAGGAAGAAGAATTTTGGAGATTTAAATGGATAAATATATAAGAAAAATATTATTATTATTAATAAAAATATGATTTTTGCAAAGTAATTTTTTTAAATATTTAAAATGGATATTTAGCAAGATTAAAAAGAAGGAAAAACGAGAGAGAGAGATAGAGAGAGAGGAAAAAAGAAAAACTTAATTATAAAAAAGATAAAAGTAAAATAAAATGTGAACTGAGTGATGTTTCAAGCTAATCTCGGCCGGGGACTAGCCTTAGGAGCAAAAAAACAAAGTCCCGGTACTCCAAATGGTCCCGGTAATAATACAAAACCGGCGGTAAGACAACAAGTAAAACCATTTACAAAAGAATCATTAGAAAGATTAGAAAGTAAAACTGTACAATTAGTTCGCGATTATGGATTTCAACCTAGAAGAAAATTATCCGTACAAGATGGTTCCATTTTACCAACAAAATTTGAACCTTTTCCCAAAAAATTATATGGTCGCCCTTTGGAAGAAATCGATAATTTTATTTATGATGAGGTAAATCATTTTTTTATTAATTAAACATTTTTTATTTTTTATTAATTAATTACACATGTGTGTACACGCATATTTTCACAATAAAAAAAAATGTCGATTATCGTATAAAACATCGAAGAACGAAACGAATAAAAATTAATAATTTATCGGTTTTATTATTATTATTATTATTATTATTATTATTTATTTAAAATGTTGTCGTGTATGCAAGAACACACGAGGATAGTTATTATTATTATTCAAACAAATATAAACAAAAAAAATTTATTTTTTTAATGTTTTTTTTTCCGATGGAATTTAAATTTTTTATTCCCCTCCCCCCCTCATTAAATCGATATTCTGACGTCACAATATTTATTAAATAATAAAAGTAAAAAAAAAAAAAAAAAAAAACAAATTTAATAGTTTATTTATTTATTTTTTTGTTTAATTATATTCATTCGATCGATAATAAATATTGTGATAAATTATTAATTTCCAAAAAAAATTAATAACAAATCAAAAGTTATTATTTAAATCGTTAATTTTAAATAAAAAATTATTATTATTATTACTCATTATAATTTTAAATAAATAAAATTTATTAATAAATATTAATTGAATGATACATAAATTTTTTATTTATTAAAGTTACATAATAAGTATGTTTATCAATTATCAATCGGAGTTGAAGTATTCAATAATCAATAAAAAAAAAATCGTAGCC